CATTGTAGTATGTTGAAGTTCTATTTAAGCATAGAATTTTTTTTCGAAAGTAAACGTACCCGATCGAAATTAGATTGGTATTAAGTTCAACGTACTGTTAAATTGAGATAAGATCATATCTCTTAACAATATTAGTACACGTGATGCTATTTTTATTTGTGGGACAACAATAGACTTCTCACTGTCACGTTTTGAGCTTTACACTACAATATCATCGCGAAATGTGGGCGATCTAAATATTTAACTTTCACCATCACTCCTTATGGATAAAATATTAAGTAGGTAGATACCAGATCTTGTCGTTCACAACCAATAAGTATAATACAAGTTCTATATTTGGCTTTATTACAAATGTTAACAGTTGTAGCAAATCCTTTGACTGTTTCGACTATTGTCATTATTTTATCTTATATTTTACATAAAAGATGAGTATGTTCATCATTTATTTAACTCTAGTTGACTTTAAATTTCATTCTATGATTTGTTTCTTGGAAATAACAATACAATAAAATATTTGTACTGTTAATTTTTGATATTATTTTCAATTTAAGTGTGACTTTGATGATTTCATTAGCAATTTTTACAACCAGCTTAGTCGTGTTTGTAACCACTTTTACATTCTACAAACATCCGATAAGCAAATTAAGAACACATATTTGCCGTTTTTATATGTTTGAGTGGAAATACAAAACACAAAGAATCAACACGGATCGCGTTGAGACTAGGTATTACTTTTTGCCTAACATCATCATACCTCGTCCCCAATAGACACTCTCTGATGATCTATCTTCATTGATTACAGATAACTGACATTGACATTATCGGTATACTTATCGTAAATTTGTTAACGTTTAAAAAACCAATTTGATTCACGATGAAAAAGCTTCTATTATGCAATTTTAATTGGATTGGGTCGATGACTTAGAGTAGCAACACATGTAGGCACTAAACGAAAAGATATATTTTTTCATCAAATCACTTTCTCACTTACCGTACCGAGTGATTTGCATTGCGTTGACGCGTTTTGTTGCGCATCGATTAATTGATAACACATTCCGTAAGAAATTATAACAGATATACAAGGAAATTATTAGAATCGTGCTTTATATGGTATGTATCTTTACTTTGAGATCATGAGATATTGAAAGCATTAAGCATAGAGTCTAACATGGCACGAATATTGATTTTTCTTACTACTTAAGTAGTTATTTTTTGTTGCATTCATCATCTGTATCTATTTGTCTATTGCCGTCTGCATATTAACTTAGGTTTTTCTACATAAATCCAAGTATAATATATCTTTACCTACTTAGATTTTTTCCTTAATAAGTACATCATATAGGTACTTACAGACAAGAAAATAGTAATGTGTTCAATTCTTGTTTAATTCGAAAACCTCTATATACCTAGTAATATAACGACATTAATTCAAATTTACAAGTACGTACGCATCATTATTGCAAAATAACAATATGACATAATCTAATCCGATTTTTTTCTCTTTATCCAATACTAATGCTACCTGCACAACTTCGCCTCCGTCACATTGTCCCGTTTTTGCAATATTTTTCATTTTGCAGTTCTGATCTTATTAGTCGTAGCGAAACACGAATATTCTTTTAGTGTTAGGATAGCCTATTTATCCTAGATAAATAGGCTTAACACTAACACTAAAAGAATATTCGTGTGCCGAGAAGTACAAAACTCAGAAAAAAAATTTTTCTTTATAATATTAGTATCTATTTATTACGATAAATATACTACGATATAACCATATAGGTATTTGATAATGTAATAACTTCCATAAATGTATGACAATTACAAAATACAAAACTCATTTATAGTAAAAAGTAGTAGTAAAAACAGCACTATGATAATCTCTATCAACGGTACATGTTAAGAATTTTATCATAGTTAACCTACCTACGTTTTATTTCTATTTGGATGTTCACATTTAAATCGTTTCAGAAGTTTTCAATGGTTTCACAAGACGATTGACAATAAAAACAACGTATGTGGTAATTGAACTACCTCCGCTCCCGGCGTTCCCTAATTGCGTGGACAGAAACGATTCCCACGCGCGCTAGATCAGCTTTATACCGCTTTATCTAGCTTTAATCAAAATTCCGTGAATCACAACTACTGTTTAGATATGATTTAAGGTATGCATATTTTACTGCTTTCGTTTATTATTTTCTTATCTGATACTATATTCATTATAATTTGTATAATAAAAGAGTACCGCGTGGTATTGAGTTAATTAAACATATTATATAGCCTTTTCTATAACTACTATAATTTATTTATATAACTACTATAGTATACATAGAATTATAGTAGTTATATAAATAAATAAAATAATGGTGCAAATGTGAACATATTAAAAACTTTACAGGTAAGTAACAAATTGTCGTTTTATAATTGTCATCATGATTACGCTTATGTATACACAGCAACCCTGCACTTATACGCGATAAGTATTCTGTAAATACGAACTTTGTTTTAACTTTATTATACGTACCTATATATCTTAATTTATTATACACTAGCAGACTCGCGAAATTTCCTCTGTGTAAAATTATCTTTGTTATGCAATATCTTTTCATCTACGTTGCTATTGCTCGTAGCTCGTCATTATATATCCTATGCATATATCCTTCCTGGATAAATAGGATATTCAACATTAAAATAATATTTCGTTCCACCCGTTTTCCGGAACTATTCTCACACTAAATTTAAAAGATGCTTAACCAAATCAACTATCTCTTCATTATTATACAATATAAGTATATATTTGAAATAAACTATTGAAATTGATTAAGGCTTGAGAGAAAAATCATGATCAACTTATGAAAAGTTGAATTGACTACAAAACATAATGATGTAGATCCTTATGTTTTGTTGTCGTGTCGTACAGACACAGATATACAAAACATAAGGTTTGTTGTAGTCAATTCAACTTATAAAATCATGATTTTTCTCCAATATTTTTCAACTAATAGACAGATATTTTTCATATGTATAACTTTTGTATATATTTCTACTGACTTATTTGTTTATAACCACTAAATAGAAGAATATATCTAACCTACACACTTGTAGTAGACATTACATGAAAAATTTACACTGTGGTAAACGGCATTACATAACTTAACAAGTTGTAAATTAGTTCTTAAAGTCGGATTACTCTATTTTACTACAGATGTAACATACTACTAAGAAAATCCTTTTACGGATGAGTATCGATCGTATTTTATGTAGGACACCATGAGCAATAACTACACATATAGGTTATCCAAAAGAAGACGCGTTATTTATAGTTATTTGTAAGTTGATTAGTTTTAACAAATCTATACTAACATTATAACTGCAAAATTGTGTCTGTCTGTATGCTTATTACCTTTTTATAACTAAACGGCGGAGATAATATTTAAGATGCGTTTAATTAAATTTGACGTGAAAATTCTTGTACCTACGAGGACAAAAGCTAGGTATCTACTAACCTCAAAAAATCAAAACACGACACGCGTAACAGGTAATAAAAGTAATATATTAAGGATATTATTTATTTTGTGTTATGTTGAATATTTTCAGATTAAAACACTTATAAATTTTATCACTATTTCAAAACAAATTTTCTAACCGCATAATAATGATTTAAACTCAACGATTATCCGTCGGGTAATATTAACGTCTGCGTATAAGAATTATGTGAAGCAGAGCCCGTAATTGGGTGCATCAGAGCGGCAGTAGTAATTGATATGACGAACTAGCGGTTCTCATCGGTGTATAGCTACTTCTGGATACGCCCTTCTATATGTACGGTATGTCGATATTCGAGTTGTCCACAATCGATTTTTGAGCGGAAATCGATTTGGATATTATGATGTTGCAACAATTACAGTTAGTACCGATGCATATCGTTGCTAATGGATGTTTAAACGTATGTGGTCGGCACTTATACGTAGGTTATGAACGTTTTGTACCAATAAGTATGTTTTGGTTAAGTTCAGTAACAGTTCCGCTGTATGATTAGCTGCCCTCGGCTATGTGAGATGCCAATGTAACTTGAGTTATAGATGCATTTCATTGCATCGTAAGTTATTTAATGTTGTATGACCTTTAGTAGCCATTATTCTTCAAGTCTTACTAGTAATATTTTTTATTCTAATTGAAATACACTTTAAGAACGTTTTTATTTCGTATTTCGTACGTTTAGTCCTACTTAATACATTATAACCCTGAAAGTTAAAGATGTTTGGATATTTGTTACTTATGTTAAAACGACAGCTTAGAGAGAATGAATAAAAATTAGCAAAGAGATAAACAATAGGATTAACGTATTTTTTTTTTACATACCAGTTAGCTAGAACTATTTTTGTACTCGTAAAATAGTTGAATCCCATAAGTAATAATATCAAATCAATATTTTTTTAAGTTAAAATTCTAAATTAAACTTATGTTACAATAACACTCGAAAATAAAAAAAAATGTATAATGTTTTCTTAATTTGAATTACCTACCCATATAACTTAAAAAAATAATAATTCATTTACTCATTTTGCTTAATATATATATCTATAAATTTTAGAAATAATTGAAATAATTTGTTATTAAAACTTTCATATTTATATAATTGAGTAGAGGTATATTTATAGGATATAGATAAATATGTTACTTAATAATAATAACCTGAATAAATATTTGTAATAAAACAGACATCTAGCTATGTATGATTAGATATCTATACAGAATAAGAAAATAAATACCAAATTAAACTAAGTAAGAAAAATTCTTTCTGAAAATGTTACCGCGGATACTTCCTTTAACTTATCTATTCGGTAATGTAGAATTTTCAATTATATATACTCTTTATATCTCGCTAAATTATATATTTCTTTAATTATTTACTATAAAAAATCTAATTTGTACAAAACTACCGAATAAGAATATGAAAATGTATAATAATCGTAATAATAATAAACAACGAGATAGCTTACCGAAACGTTACTTAAGATGAGCAATGGCAAAAGCATCAAGAAGCTGGATTTTATAGACATCTTACACGGTTTACACATAAACTAAAATTTATGATTGGATTTATGTTACGTTACAGGACACGCGAGGAGTTCCCGCCAATCCGGTAAGAAGACACCGAGGCGTCTGTTGGCGTACGCTAAGCCCGCCAAACTGAAGTACTAAGCAGTAAGCACCGTGAGAGCTTCGCGAACCGTCGTTGAATGGCGCACTCCACTCAGAGGGAGAGATGGCGGGAGGGCCGATCTTGTAGGGGAAACCGCCGGTAATTCACTAAGAAAAGTTATTTGCCGACCCGTCTCGTAGGGACTTAGTAATAGAAAAATTTAACCGATTCACCACATTAGGGTAAGCCATAAGAGAGGACAGTGTGTACTTACATCGATTTGATGAGGATCTTTGTAGATAGGTATTTGTAAGTACGTAAGATACTGTGATACGAAAGTATTTGATTACTAAGTATTTTGGTTGTTTACTTTTACTAAATAGAAAAGAAAGAGTATATATCGTCACCGTTCCGATAACTCAATAACTTATACTTTTTACCTATCACGTTACAAATATATATAATAGTTTATCCCGAGTTCTCGTTGATTTTAATGGAACATATTTAATCAATATGTAATATAATATAATATAATACAGGAAAAAACGGTAACCAATGTAGGTACTCTTGTCAAATACTATAAATCATAAGACAATTGAATGCGCCGTCATCAGCATATCTACATATATAAAAATTACGTGTCACGTTATTTGTCCGCGATGGACTCGTAAACTACTGAACAGAATGCAAATTTGATTTGTATGCAATTTGAGCCAAATTGAATCTTACATTTCAATTTTTAGTTGCAATATTTTATCAAGAACCTTAGCCACAGCAACGCGTGGCTAGATCTGCTAGTTAAATATTAAAATACATTGTTCGAATTGTATTAGTGCTGACTAGTTACTGTCTGACATATAAACTAGGTTAAGCGCCCGACTTCAGCCGTGTGACCATGATTGGCCTTGATCAGAAGTAGCCTATAATAATAATAACCGTGACAATTCACACAGGGCCATCTAGTCTCAAGTTAATCAGAGTTTGTGTTGTGAATATTAGACAACAGATACTTACGTGTTTTTGTTTGTAAATACATACATAATATATTTACATAGAAAACACTCAGATTGATACAAACAATCATAGTCATTAAAACAAATGTTTGTACCGTCCGAGGTATCGTACCCGTGACCATCTAAAGTAAAGCGATGTGTTAAACTGCAAGACTACCGAGGCCTATTAGTTGCATATTTAACAAAAAAATTTTTGTTCGTTCGAATGATGGATTGAGTATCCACTAATTGGCACATTTATTACCTACATGTGACAAGCGGTATGTTATATGTAATATGCATAAGATTAAAATTCACGGAAATACCAGATCAATAGAATAATGCCCGACAATAAGCACGCGAACTCACTACTTATACATACAAATATTTCCGCAAAACATGGGAAAATTGTAACTGTATACTACTACACTTTAAATATAATTAAAGTGTATGTAATGTAGATATAGATACACAGTAAGTACTTATACCAATAAAATAATTTGTGTGCCTGTCTCTTTGTTCTTGCTAATGTCTGAAACGGCTTGACCGATTTTGACGGGACTTTCATTCACAGATAGCCAATGTTATAAGAAGTAACTTTGGCTACTATATTTTGGATTTTTAACTAAAAAAGAAGTCAATTCCACGCAACGAAGTTACGAGTAACAGCTAGTTATATAATATTTTGCCAGTATGTATCCACATACATACTGACAAAATTTGCATTTTATTGATAGGTAATTTCTGGAACTACTGAAAATTTCATCTGTTTAAAATTCGAATTAAGCGATAAAAAATAAACACAGTGCTATATGAAATTTATATTCATAGTAGGTAAATACCCAAGCCTTGAATCCATATTAAAATGTCAATCTTTTGAAATTCTTTAAAAAATTAATATCCGTAACCGAAATTAACCGAAAATAACGGATAATCCAAAATAATTTCATATACGCATCCGTATCTGGTATAATAATCACTACTATATCCGAAACCTATCCGTATCAGATATTTCATATCCATAAGATCCCTGATATAAAGGTATTAAATTTTTCCACAGTCCAACTCATAAGAAGCGACTGCAAGTAGTTGGAATAAACATAATTATTCATTCATTTTTTTAATTGAGTGTAGTGTGTTTTGTTTTTACATTCATATAGTAAACATTTGTAACAAAAACTATTAGCTATCAGATAATTTAAGAGTATTTATAAGTATCTACGTGAAAAATTTTTTATTTACATTATTTTAAATTTCGACCGCACGTAGGTAAATGACATTAGTCAATTATAGATATGAAATTAGTTAATAATATGCAAGTTCGTGTTGCTTTAAAAAGATTTTTTGTGTAACAAACAATGCAACCACTTTTACTTACCACTGTATTTTGATAGCAATTACTGTATAGATTAATTATGAAGGTGACACCATAATGACGGTAGTATCAACTCATAAAACGTAGTAATTTGTAACCGTCGCCTGTAGACATGAACAGCACGATGAACATAATGTTAACACTCATGCCTTGCCATTCCAAATGACTAAGATGTCATGTCTCTTTTATTGTGATTTCATTTCTTCTGGCTCAATCTACTACCAAAACACAGCTTACAAAGCAAGCTGCTTAGCGGCTAAAATAGGTATTAGAGACTGACGTACCCACGCAGACAACTTTATATAGTCTATGATCTATATGATCTACCTTTATATGTTCCAATTTCAAAGAAGAGGCTGTATTGGTTTGATTAATGAGAAAAAGAACATTTATCTATGCATGTCATAATACAATTAATTAAATAACCCGTGTGATGCTGGGGTGGGTCGCTAAAGTAATAATTAAAGCATAACATCGGTCTTGAGCTTGACCTTCAGAATTAACTGTACACTTCGTGATTTATGTATGGTACGGTCAGTGCCCTAGTTAGATAAAATCATGTCAACATACTAATAGTCAATGAATTATGTAACAAGCATATTATTTAAAAATCGGCATTATAGTAATCCTATCAATTTCATCTGCACCGAAGTTGCCCTACTAAAGAATATTCAGGATTATAGCACTTTGCTTTATTGAATATAACTTGTATTCTGATATTCATGTTAGGTAATTTAACCAACCGTACTCTAAATATATTGTATACTAGCTACTAAATATATTATACTATATATTCCACGCGACTTCGTACGCGTGCAATTTTAACTTTATCTTTATAAAATAAAAGAATTGTTCTATAATAAAGGTAGCCTAAGTTACTCCTTATTACCTCAGCTACCTGCCAATAAAAGTCCCGTCAAAATCGGTCCAGCCATTTCAGAAATTAGCCAATGGTAATAATAAAAAATGACATTTTGGTATTTATTTATTTATAAATATTCATATACTTGTAGGAAAACGGTTATTTACAAACAGACACTCTAATTTCATTTTATGTATATAGATAAATAAACTTGAATGAGAAACATAATTAACTAAATATTCCTGCCAATCGTTGACCACAAGTATGCATTAAATACCATAAATCAGATATCCACGTCAGCAGTCATGCCTCGTCACTCCTGAAGAATAAAGTATTATCCCCATAGTTACCCTGGTACACTGCCATAATTATCTCATTTTTAAACTAGCAAAAGAAAAATGTTTCCAATATTTATTTGTTCAGTATCAGTCTAACAAATTCTGTTCAAATAATTATATTTTGATAAGATTTCACTACCTACAAATCTAATCACATTCTCACGTTTTAAGTACAGTATTGTATTTTGTATTGAGTGAAGTCCACTTTGTTAACAATATTCGAATAAATATCAGTCACGCAACTAATACAAGTATTTGAGAATGACAACGCACTATTTTATGCTTGTACGTATTTACATACAAAGCCTATGAAAAAATACTAATAACTTTTCTAATTACTTACGCAGTTAGTAACAAGTAGTATAGTATATGTACTGCCGATACAAGTATTTTAACGTTGAAAGCCCGTGACACTACCATACGCTTAAAATCATAATATTGGATGTCGCGTGAGAAAATATTACGCAAGATCAACCTAATGTTTGTATTTTATTGTTGTTTTGTCTAACTATAAGTAATTACGAACTAGTGTCTCTTTGTGGTAATGGAGTTATATATACGGTATCATTCCTTTCAATCTCTAGGATCGGTGTCTAGGAGGCTAAAGAACCCTGTTATAGGAAATGGAATTAGTAACAGTCAAAGAAAGACTATGATGTTATTTTTAAGGCACTGTACAATAATACATTTATTGAAAAAAAAAATACAATTAAATAAATGCATTAAATAAAAAAAATACCTTCCCTATATTATATATACCCATATGCCAAAAATATATCTGATTTGAAAAGAAAAATACACTTTATAGATTACATCTTGGCTCTTGAATATATAGTCACTTGCCCAAGCTTTTTTTAAGATTTTCGGCTAGTTTATCCATGAATTCAAAGGTTTCATAATAGTCTGACCTCTTTACATCATTCATGCCCTTGATGCAAATAGCAAGATCTTTTGTCATTACACCAGATTCAATAGTGTTAATGCAAACACTCTCAAGAGTTTCAGCGAATTTCTTTAGCTCATTATTGTTGTCTAGTTTAGCACGATGCAAGAGACCTCTGGTCCAAGCAAAGATAGAAGCAATAGGGTTGGTGGATGTTTCCTTTCCTTGCTGATAGAATCTATAATGTCTGGTCACAGTGCCATGAGCGGCTTCAGCCTCAACAGTCTTTCCATCCGGGCAAATAAGAACAGATGTCATAAGACCTAAAGATCCATAACCTTGAGCTACCGAATCCGACTGAACGTCACCATCATAGTTTTTGCAGGCCCATACAAAACCACCTTCAGATTTCATTGCATAGGCAACCATATCATCAATCAATCTGTGTTCATACCAAATCCCTGCGGCTTCAAATTGCGCCTTATATTGATTATCATATATTTCTTGGAAAATGTCCTTGAAACGACCATCATACTTCTTAAGAATAGTATTCTTTGTGCTCAGATAAAGTGGATACTTCCTGTCTAGGGCATATTTGAATGAAGAATGGGCAAAGTCGACAATTGAAGCATCTGTGTTAAACATACCAAGAGCTACACCGGCGCCCTTGAAATCATTGACAACTTGTCTGATTGGCTGTCCAGATGGCGGTGTCCAAATCAATTCAAGTTGACCCTCACCAGGTACAACAAAGTCTGTTGCTTTGTACTGATCAGCATGAGCATGACGACCGATGATTATAGGTTTTTCCCAACCAGTTACAAGTCGAGGAATATTTTTGCAGATAATAGCTTCCCTAAATACGGTACCACCAAGAATATTACGGATGGTTCCGTTAGGGCTCTTCCACATCTTCTTTAATTTAAATTCTTCTACTCTTTTTTCGTCAGGTGTAATAGTGGCGCATTTAATACCAACATTGTATTTTTTTATCGCATTAGCACAATCAATGGTAACTTGATCATCTGTCTGATCACGGTATTCCATACCCAAGTCATATGTGTGCAATTCTATATCTAAGAATGGTAAAATAAGCTTATCTTTAATCAGATCCCAGATAATTCTTGTCATTTCATCTCCAAGGATGTCAACGACTGGTCCGGCCTTTATCTTTGACATGGTAGCTCTGTAAACAAAGAACATGACATATTAAACTATTATTAATAGAAAGTAATACAGAAGACATTATTCATTCACACATTCTATTTTCTGACATTCTATTGATATGTAGGTATGTCTTAATTTTAATACCTGGCAGAATATATTTTTAGGTAAAACTGGCATTGGGACACATTCAAAATATTATTTATGTACATAAATAATTATATTTAATTTATATAAATGTACCAAGTAAATATTTATTATTTTCGACAAAAACCACTTATCTTTTGTGTGCGAGTGTGTATGTGAACGGATGCGGAAGGCAACACCGCACATAGTGGAAGGCAATACTATATTATATTTGGAAATAGAAAAACTTCACGAAATTGCTTAATACATACATATTTATTACTTGCAAAATTAATAACAATATCAGATTTAACAAGCGGTTAGTTGTTTGCGGTGAACAGCTCCCGATAAAATTTTGGCAACAACGATAAATTGATAACCTAATTATAAAATTAGGTTATCAATGTTAACTAAAATTTCAGGACTTTTATATTCCGAGTGTGAACTATAACCTTAGAGAGATATTTTTCGAAAACATTTAAAATCTGATTATTTAATTTAATCGAATGACTAAAGTCCGTATTACGGACTTTAGTCGAGATACTTTCTGACAAATTTAAGATTCACGCATTTTTATCGTCAAAGGGATCGCTTCATGAAGTAATGTCAGTCAAAGCCACTAGTTATTGTCTTATCTGTGCTGTGCTGCCGTTATCTATTGAGTATCTACTGTTACTCAAAACAGAATACAATTGTAAAAAGTAGTCATTAATACAAAAATTATTAAAAAGAATCCAGAATGAGTGAAGATGTTTAATCGCTATCGTAAGTATCTACCTACATTCTTTTAGTATATCATATTGATAATAATGTAGTAACATTACAAAGTGGATATTGTAGGTTTGATCATTTGCTTAAGGAAGGATGAATATAGAATTATAAGAGATATTGGGTCTGAATGAGACATAAGTGGACTAAAAATAGACAACGTGCTACAGACGGGTCATTTTAAAAGTTACTGTGAAAGTTCGTATAAATATATAAACCGAAAGTACATAGTTATTAAACATAATAATAACCATAAGAAAACAACACAAAATAGTCTTTCGGATATTTTTTAATGTTTTTAATAAATAATGTAGTAGAAAATGAGTTTTTTTATTCATTTATTGTTAAATTATATCTAATTTACGAGGAGAAAAAAAAGCAAACATTTTTTTTTGTAAAATTATATTGTAAACGGCCTTTCACATTTTTTTAAAAAGGTTAAGACGATTATTTACATAATAAAAACAACATCATGTTTAGTCTTCCTACATAGTTTCTATGACAGAAGTTTGGGGTCGTCGTTCATTAATAAACAAACAAAATATTTATTAAAACTTGATAATTACAAAATATCGTCCATTTTTTCATTTTCAACTTAAATATCTAAAAAATTGATCATAATGAAACCCGAAATTTCAACAAAACTTTGCCATAATCATTTCTAATTTTCTCATAAATACAACGAAATTTTTGCATAAAAAAAACATAATAATAAAGTTAATATACTTGTAAATTAGAAATATAAAAAAAATATATAAGTTTCTAAGAAAAAAATAAACAATAATAATAATTTAAAGTTGTATAAATTCCGTTGCGCCAAAAGTAAATTCTCAGTGGCGCGCTAGCGCTCGTACCTATGCCATTTTTTACAACACCGCTAAGATAAGACATTCGTCAGTGAACATTAGTATAGAGCGACTAAACCATTTTGATAATTTAAGTAATATTTAATTAATTTTGCTAATATATTTATTTCTACGAATATTAATTTAAAGTTGTTGTTAAATATATATACACATATATATATATAATAATAATATTTATTTTAGCATGCCAAGACAAAAGTACAGTTATGCTACAAATAAAACCTACCTACCCTGCTGGACTATGAAAAGCACAAGAATGGTATTTCGTCACACTAATGGCAATTAATTGTTAAAATTAAAAAAGAGAACATTTTAGTATTTTAAAAAATAACGCTTATCTGAGAAAAAAAATGTAAGAAAATTAAACCAATTTTACTCTAAGTTTATTTTGTAGCTTTTTTCTAAATTAAAATAGGGTTATTGTTTATAAAAATACCATTATTATTTTTACGTACATTTGTCTTGTGTTATATAGTGTATATCATCTAGTATGCAATGTGGATTGTAAATAAATTACCAAATTATATATAAATTATATTCCTTAATGTTTAGAGATATTTTATCCAATTTTATTTTATTTTACACAATACAGATATTTCTAAATTGTAGCTATTCTGTTATTATACTCGTTGGACTTTCATTACTGTACAGTTATGTCAAATAATTATGCGTGTTTGGGTGAAAAGTTTTCGCGGCTTCGCCCGCGTGAATATGGGATATATAGGTTATCGCGCGTTTAAAAATCCGTGTACAGTATTGGGACGTTATATATAAACCTTCCTCTTGAATCTATCTATTCTGTCTATTAAATAACAACGAATCAAAATCTGCGTAGTTTTTTAAGATCAAAACATACATAGATCTATTACATGTGTAGATGATATTTTAACCGGAAATTGAAGCCGTTAAAATGGTATTGGCAGATCAGTTGGAATCATCGGTATTCTTGGTATATAAGCTTCAATTCTTTAGTAAGCAATATATCCAATGGGACGCCATTGCACATGTTCGGCGGGCTTAAATTTCATGACTGGATCATGCTTTTGAAAAATTCCTTCCTCAAGTTTGAGCATTTAGTGTGGGAAATCACTATCTGTGCTTCCATAAAAATGAGCTCTCAAATTTGTCAGTAGTTTTAAACTTTCAATTAAAGTCCATAAGGGAGACGATGTTAATGACACAGAGAGTCTTTCAGAAATCTCCAGCAAAAGTATAAAAGTAATCCCGCCAATGAGAGCAGAGGTGTTTCTAAGGTCTTTTAAGGTTCTGTCCAAAATCCCTATAGCTCATGGTGATTTCATTACATATAATCAATGAGGCGTCTTATAATAATTTATAAAAAGGTTTGACATTAACAATTAATTATTTATCAAGAATCAAGAATCGGCCAACCAAGAACGAGAAGCTGCAATATCAGCCAATATCATGCGGCGACGTCAATGATGCAGGAACAGCAATGATAGCAGTTGAAGCTTTTTTTACAACTTAGAAAGGAAAACAAGCTGACGGCTCTCCTGATGGAAAGGGGTAACCGTCGCCTATATACATGAGCAGTACCTGCCATGTTCATATCAGCACATTGTTTCCCTCATGCGTTACCATTCCTGAAAACTCGGGTGTTATTCCCCTGTATCTTGTAAATTCACTACCATATATATACACAGGTAGTCTATATAGATAGATATACATATACACAGATAGTATACCCTGAGAAAGGTCATAGACTACTTTATAGTGCGAAAAAAGTATTGTAAGGGATTAAAAGCGGAGATGAAAGGTTGTATAAAAGTATCGTCATTGTTTAATTGAAACAAAGAAACTTTTTTAGGTTATAATCTAAATATATTTCCTTTATTTGGTCAATTTCATTATACCACGCTGACGAAGTCGCGGACACACCTAATATACATATAAAGATGGGACCTTTAAATCAAAACAAAGCCTTGAAAACAGAACTATTATATATAAATAAAATAATTATATTGTATCTTATAATAAATTATATTGTATCTATTAATAAATAAACTGAATTAATATGTAAGAAGAATTAATTAGTAAATTTATGTTATAGTAAGTTCATCTTCCTGTCCTTCTCCCAATTATTTGTTACTCATATTACTTAAGGTTTTGGCTTTTAGTTGTACAATCGGCCAGCATCCTGACATCAACCCTCTAGGAATAATATAATAAAAAAATATGGTCATTATTAGCACTTTGATAATTAAGATAAATCACGTTATTTAAAAAAATCCAATAAGTAGTCTCAGTTAAGTAGAAACATATCACATTATTAATTAAAATATTACAAGGATCAAAATGGTTCATACTAAATCCACACCGATTGAGCTACACGGTTATTTGCGTCTGTGTGCGTGTATTACTGTATGTGTGCGTAAATCCATGCGTTTAAACCTAAAGTTGAGCGGCATCATTTTGTAATAGTCCTCTTAATGTTACTTACGCAACAACTTAATGTTTGCATTATTCCAATCGACCTACAAAAAAAACTTTATATCCTTTTGTTTTTCCGAATACCACAGTTAGAAGTAAAGTCCACAAGATAATAAAAAAGACAAACATACATAGGTGTATATAGTTGATGTAATATATTGACGGCATCGATAGTCTAGGGGTTTAACACACCGGTTTACTTCCGATAATAGCGGGTTCGATTCCTCGCGCGTTGCATTTGTATTCATGAATATGAATGTTTGTATAGGTCTGGGTGTTTTCTATGTATATTGTTTGTATTTGAAAAATAAAAAAAATATCTAAGTTTTTAATTAAAAACAATAATTTTAAGTTTTTAAATTAAAAAAATAAGTTTTTATATCAGTTGTATAGTACCCATAACGAACTTTCACATCGGCACATTTATTTTTGAGATAAAAGTTTGCCTATGTCCGTACTCCTGATACAATCTTCTTGTCACTTTTCATTAAAATCCCTTTAGCATTTTATTTGTCAATAGGCAACAAACTGTCAGACAGGATATTTCACAATTATAATATCAAGTATAATATTGGATTAGTATGTATAACTAGAAATACTAACAATGTTATCCCTTCGAAAAAGGATTAATAACTACATTTATGAGAGTGCACAGGCAAATAGTCACTAAACCAGGCCAAAATTATTCAATCATTACCTCATAAAACCAAAAAATCTGCAAAATGTTTAAGAAAAGTATTTTAAGCCTATTAGTTTTAAATCAGCTGTGGTTCCGTGGGTGAGTTGAAGACCTGCACCTTCATGTAAAAACTTGGAAAATTAATTTTCAGTAGACTATAGTACACCTCTTAAGCCTTTTACTATTTTGGCCCAATGGGAAATTGTTCCTAAATTAAGATTTCTGGCACATGGACAAAAATGTACAATACACAATTAAGAAAGATCTGTTGTAACTTAAACACTTAGTATGCTATTACATACTATTACAGGATAACCCAATGGGTATAGTATATTTGCTATATTTATGTGTACCTTTCCCAAGATTAATAAATTATATTTTTATAATGATTAAAGTATAGCAATCAATGGAATTTATTTCCTTATCGTGAAATGGATGGCACATTTTTTTTATTGCAGAACAAATATAACTTTTCATTCAAATTACATGGTAACACCAAATTTAAATTTATATTAAACAAACATAACAATATTGTTTATAAGAAATAAAATTATAAAATTTACTATTCTGTACAAAAGAGTATGTATTATATGTAAATGTATTGGTGAAAGTGGAACTGTACAATCAGACAAATAAATGTTTCATATTTGTTGTATATTATGTTACACATATCATTGTACATTTTATGATTAATAAAACCAATTACATTAATTTTAAAATGCTTACCCTCAACATAGTTATAAAATTGGTACTTTCTTTGACTCTTTATAATATTAATTGAAATATATTTTATTTTAAATTATATTGTTTCGACTATTCAAATTCAAAATCAATTCTATCTCTGTTCAAGTAGGTATTCATATATTGAAATTAGGCAATTATGGAGTGGTCTAGAATATATTATTACTTATAATATATTTGAATAAAATATAATTGCAATGAAGAATATGGCTACTACCATAGCATAATAATTATTAAGTGATATTAAAATCTTATGTACCGGCCTAAGTTACTAAGAAATATTAACAAGATTCTATAATCCTTGAATACTTGTTTACTTAAGAATGTTCAAAGTTCAACATTGTAAATTCAAACATGACGCCATTAAATAAGCAAATATAAAAAAGTATTAATATTGTTACAAATTAAATCTGGATATAGATAAATATATAAGGAGGTATATTAATACTTACCCCGATATCAAAATTGTTGTAAAAAAAAATGCAAACGATAGAAACTCGTCTAACCAGTATTACAACGGCAATATAACTGAGTGAATGAGATTAAGGAAACCTGCCTGACAGCCGCAAAGGGAAGGTTGAAGTGGTGATAGTGTGATTGTAAGATAGTTGGAATACGTATACCTACTTACAATAATGAATGTGATACTATCAAGTTGCGATTAGTGTGAAATATTGGGATAGTTACCTTTTTAAATCCGAAGAGACGACGAACTGAGAGACGAACAATAAACTAATTAATAATACTAAATGTGTAAGGAAAAGAAAGGGATTGGAAAATAATTTTAACGAACGTAATATGTATATTAAAGAGTAGTTAGGTGAGGGAGGAGTGAGGGGCAAATCCAGTGTTGCCAACAAACAGAGACTGAAATTAGCAGCATATTATATAAATAATATTATTAGTAATTAAAATAATCGGTAAACTATAGCTCCAAAAACTTTCTTAAAAAAAGCAACTGTCGTGAAGCCATTAAATATAAGAAGATTTTAGTTACATTTTATCTATCGAATAATAAAGGGTAATTCTAGTTTTAATTAATAATTCAACACTATATTCGTATAAACAGCTACCAACAATAACACCAACTTAAGTAAAAAACAAAGTTTCCTCAAGTTTCTCATGTTACTGTACAGTTAAGCAATATTCATTTTAAAAAGATGAGTTTCTGTATCTTTATTATACTTCAAGCCTTTCTCTGAGTATTCAAAAGAATAGCTGAATTTGTCCACTTTGTTATTTTAAAGATATATAAACAGTCTATATTTAAAGTGTACCTAATCATTTTTGTATTTCAAGCTCACTATATCGCCGGAAAATAAATTGCTTTAAAAAAGTGTCTCAATGAATTTACTAGCTTTACTGGTAAAATTAGAAGCACAGCAACATTGTAACATATATGTTTATCTATAGACTGAAATGTACAGCACTAAAAAAAGATAATTTTTTTGATTGTTGCTTTTTGACATTGACGTCTCATGTCAGTGTTACCTAGTGATGATAACAATAGACACACAATGACAAACAATCTTGCAATAATCTCATTAAATAACCAAAATCATATAAGAGTACCTTTATAGAAACGAAACACTAACAGCACAGCCCTAACTATTGTTTTATCAATAATTTCTACTAAGGAACTTTTTGGTCTTCAGTGGTACTGATAAGATAATATTACAGTGTACGAGGTATGACGACATATTTATTATATAGGAGTAAATTATTGACTACGGCGGAAATTATATATTATTTTCTTTCAAGTTTTGTTTGCACCTTTTCTATTACTGTGTAGAGCTTAATAAATAACAACTCTAATTGTAAGCTGTCATGAAAATATTACTGTGATTGACTGACAGATTCAGAGACAAATTGAATTATATATAGGCTAGCTTATATATAGGTATATTATGTTATCTGTGATATAGGTATACAATTTTTAACTACTCTCTACGAGGCTAAAAAATTTAAAGTTAGCTAAGTTGGCTATTAAGTTTAGATTAAAGTATCATCGATATTGAAAAGAGTCAACATCAAATATAATCAATATATTGAATTGTTTCTTTAAATCGATAACTCGATTGGAATATATCGATATTTCATTGACAAGCCATCCGCAGCTCTAGGAACATACATAAAATTAAAAAAAAGACAGTTACCGAAATTGAAATATTGATTATAGTTTATGTTGTATTATGAATCAATAGTAGTTGTTGTTTTATCTGTTTGCTCCTAAATTATTAATAAAATCATTAATTGGATTCTTATTATGAAGCTTGTTATAATACTGTGATAACGATTTCTTTAGTCGAAATGGTGATTCAAAAGAACTGGAATAATATTGAAGCGTCCCATCAGACTTCTGCTACGGCGAATTCTTCAAGTAGCTCATGGAACTTCCCGGCACCCGCAAAAACAACAATTACAGTACGAGTCAACGATACCAACAATATGCAGGTGCCATACCATATAACAATCACATTCCCATAGCCGCTCATCTCCTCTTCAATTTTTTTTTTTTTATGGATGATAATGGGATGGTGTTCCAGCCTGCGCTAACGGTTTACGCTGGCGGGGCACCAATGGAGGATGATAAGATGAGCATGAGGTCAAGTCAGTTAGCCCATCGTGACAAATTCACCAGGAATTTATCACGATAGTTTCCAGGGGGAACCGCGTGGAGGTCAACCTGATATGGTACATTGTTAGTAATGGAGTCATGAGTCCACATTACTAACAATCCCCCTCCCCCCTCTCCTCTTCAATTGTTAAAGCTTGATTGCTGTGAGGTCAATTTTAGGGCTCATGCTATACTATATTTAATAGTTTCGATGTACATAAACATGGAACAACGTAAGCCACATAAAATCTGCGCATTAGACCAAATATTTTAAGCTTGATTGCTGTGAGGTCAATTTTAGGGCTCATGCTATACTATATTTAATAGTTTCGATGTACATAAACATGGAACAACGTAAGCCACATAAAATCTGCGCATTAGACCAAATATTTACCAGAACTATCTAGACAATAGTTGCAATTTTATTTTGTGCCAACAGTGTGGGAATAGTGATTGCTGCGCCTCCATTATGAGTTGTTTAAATACCTATTACACAGAAACAACAGACTTGCATGTATAGTGTTCCAAAGTTCAAACCTGAAATTGAACTTGAAGTATCTTTAAGTACCAATGGCAGTTACAGTAATCTCCGGCTGGATTTCACCAAAGAAACTGATCGTGTTTAGTTCCAACTGAACGTCATTAAAATGTTTAAACATATTCAAACCTTCATTTTGCATTTCACCACTACAAAATTCGCTTAACACATTTATAAATTTTGAATGTCTGATATCGTACAGTTAACTCTTTAGACATATTTACAGCAGCTGCCAAAATTGTATTGTTAATAAAATTTTTGACAATATAATTTCGGGAATAAAAATAAAATTGCCAGTAGTGTAGAAAAAAATCCTCAATAAAATAATATTTTACTAGTTTATAGGTAAAGGTTGTTGTTTTTTATTTTGTAGTTTCTTAAATTTATTTCTTTATTAAATTAAGAATTAAAAAATTTATCCTAATTATCACATGATTGATTTATATATATTTCCTAGAATTATATATAACTCAATCATTATTTTATTTAAATTACTCACTGTATCAAATATTATTTTATGAGTGTGTAACACTGAAGGAATGAAAATCTGTTACTTTGAATGTGTTTATATTACGATTGGTGAAATCCGACCTTAGGTCGTGTTATTATAATCCAGTCTCACACACATGTGATATGTAAAAACTAGTAGAGGAGTTATAGAGCACGCAGATGTAGCATTGGCCTTGACTCTACACTATGTGATATGCTAAATTAGATATAACACTATTGATGTCTTCTTCATATATTTTATTAGGTACATAGGGTTGTAGAAAAATTGTATTGTGGTAAAAAAATATAGTATAAATTAATGTAATTTATTATTATTTTAAAATAGTTAAAAATCTAAATATTTTAAACTATTTTGCTGTTGAATTAACCATTCAATTTGATTGTTAATGAGTTTGATTTTTATAGTATAAATATTATTTTCCAGAAACAACCTATCACCCGCCAAATTGCTATAAATACATTAGCGGCCATGCACAGAAGGTTCAGTTTGCCTGGACCAGTTCAACCACATTCAAGACCCATTGCTGAGTTTCGAGCAAGTGCAAACAAATCTTTAGACATGCTGCGCCAGACTATACAATCAGCTGTTACACGGGAGATTGATCAAGTTATTAAAAAGTATTTGGAAGTAAGTTATTTCATATTACAATTTTGAATTCAAACCAGAATAAAAGTACTCCTTGTATTTATGAGATTAGTACTCAAATATGCCTGAAATTTATTCAAATTTGTTTGGATACAATTACATAATGATAAAATAAAAAAAAAATCTAATTTAAATATATATTTTGCTTATAATAATTCTGATTTCTTTGAAAATTATGTACTAATTACTAATTTCTGTAAAAATCTAATTTGCAGAAGTTTTTTGTTCCTGCTGTTAATAACATAAGGCTGAATTTGGGGGATGAGTCAGTAAGTGAAGATCAGGTAAGTTTATTATTCTAATATTATTATTTAAAAATGTATGAATAATCTATTGTACAATAATTATTCCTAAAAATATAGATTTTACTGTAGCTATTATACTATAGCTAAAAAAATTCTAATGAATTCAATAACTTATGCCTGTGTGTTAGCTAATACTCATCAGAATATTAAATGAAACAGGTAATAGAATTTATTGTAAATGATTTTAAATTATACGAAAATCTATTCTGTCTTTAGTATTACAAATTTAAAACTATCTCTATTCCGTCATAGTGTCTTAATGGCTTCACCAATTATAATAAAATTTGGCATAAACCGACACAAAATGTGATACTTAGAATGAAATATATCTGGTTAATCTCCATCTATATTGACACTTTGTGATTTATTCCTTCAATTGATATGCCATATATTACAGGTTCGAGCAGTATGCCGTGCCATGTTAGATGCTACTCGCCTTCTGTACACTACTCCCCCTAGACCTGCACCATCACCATATGAGACAAGTGACTCAGAGTCTAGTAACAGCACTGACTCCAAGTTTACAAAGCATATTCATGTAAGTTGAGTAGTGATAAAAGTTATGCATTGCAATTATGATCAGAGCATGTTATAGTAGATAGAAGACTGAATTTAACTGTAATATTAGACCTCCTAGACTACAGACAACCTAGACCTTTTTCTCATTCATTACTGTAGCTGGGCTAGTGTTACTAGCTGTAATCTGATTCGAAGTATATGTATATGGAAGTGAAAACTCTGGTACAGAGGCACAACGACATAGTTAATATGTATTGTTAAATCATTTGTGACTATGATTACAGGCATTGCAGTCTTTTACAATTCAATATGATATTGTTCTGGTTTGTCTGGTGTAAGGTAGCTGTAATTCAATAGTTGCATCAGTTAAGGTGACGAAAAATAGTTTTCAACACTTAATGGTTATTTACAATAACATATAATTATAATGATATTAAAATAGTATCTTACTTTTAGTTGCAGAGTCCATCACAAAATAAACGCAAAGAAACGGAAAATGACATTGATTTATGTATAAAACGCAAGAAGGTAAAACAAGAAGAAAACATAGATAGTGCATCTTCATCACCTTTACCGTCGCCTGCCATCAGAGATCCTGAGAAGTGGAACCCGACAAGGCTAACTCAAGATACATTGTTTATTATGGGGTCTCACGCACACAAAGTAATTCATTATTAATTTGTTTCTACTGACAAATAAAACCAAAAATAGCATTTATTACTTAACAGTCAATCAATCAATTTATTGTAATACAAATAATATGTTGTTGTACAAAAATAACCATAATTTCAACTTCTAATAGACATGTTATTATTTAAGTTACTCTCAGTAGTTGATAGTTATACCTCATAATTTTATCATCAACTACCAGAGAATTTTTTCCTGAAGACCTATATAGACATTTTATGATGTATTCTGGTTCCAAGCAGCTTGCTTATTTTCTTCATTCTGGGTATGAGGGGAGTAAAATTACAGTAAAATTACACATGCTCAAAATATTTATCTCTGATATTATATGAGATGTTGTTTGACTTCATTGGTACTCTTTTGGGAAAAGAAATATGTTCTTGAATTCTACATAATCTTGAGGTTTATAAACAGCACTAATTTTATACTGTGTTCTAGGTTTTAGGGTTAGGTAACTCCCGCGGTCGTTTATACACAAGACATGCTGGTCTACTCAGATATCCTGCAGACAGTGCTGACAAAGAATGGATAGCAAGTCACAACTTGGTGAATGCTGTTGGTGGAAAAACTTACATAATGGTATGTTTATCAATCATTGATATATTGTTATACATAAAAATTTGAGGATTTGTAGGAAGGAATAGTTACAAAGTTTAATATAAAATAATAGTGATGATCCTTTTTTATTTAATAAGTAGTAATAAAATGAAAGTAATATAAAATAATATAACAAACTCAAACTATGATTATTCTAGGTTTTAGAAGACATAGAGGAGCTTGCAAACAGTGATGCATACAGACACAATTCATTACCAATGCTTGGAGAGCTAACAGGCTTTAAAGTGCCACCATTCATGTTGCGAAAAATAAAAAGTTATGTTCTGAAAAGAGCTTTAAGTGGCGATGAAAGTCCTCAACCATCTACCAGTGTTATCCATGATGACAAATTAACTTTAACTGAAGATATAAAGCTAGAACCTCTTGATGACAATTATGATACTAATTTCAATGCAAGTCAGTATATAAATGGTGATAACACACAAGATTTTGCAGAGATCAAAGAGCATGCAGATTTTGCTGATATTAAAGTTGAAGATATTGATGATATAAAAATGGATGGTATAAAAGTCGAAGATTTGGATGAAATAAAAGTTGAAGGAATCAAAGTAGAAGATTTGGATGTGAGTGATATCAAAGTTGAAAATATTGATGACATAAATGTTGAAGCTATCAAAGTTGAAGACATAAAGTTAGAGAATGATGATGCATTTTCTTTATGTAAACAGACTGAAGATGAACAGAGTAACTTGGTTGATGGGTTGCTTGATGCGGACATCGAGTTTTTAAGCAGAAACTTGGGCAACATAGAGAGTGATGCAGATGCTAGGAAGACTATTGAAAAGTTAACTGGGGCAAATCCTGATACTATAACATTAGTTGGTGATGAATTTGACTTGGGGACAACATTGAACACTAATAATGTGAGTTAATAAGTCACACACTCATGTTTTGGAACAATTCGGATTAGTAATTATATAGATTTGTGGATTATATGTTGATCTCTATCTTATTAATATTATAAAGTTTGTGACTATGGATGGATGTCTGTTACTTTTTCATGCAAAACTACTGAACGGATTTTGATGAAACTTTACAGTAATATAGCTTATAATAACATATAGGCTATAAATTTCACGCGAGCGAAACCGCGGGCCGCGAACCGGGATACAGCTAGTTCATGTATATGTGTACATTTAAAAAATGTAATCTTTTATAAGGATATTACTATATGTTTAAAAAATATATAACTAATATATATATATATATATAAAATATAACATAAAAAAATATTTCAAATCATAATAATTTATCTAGAATATAGTACAAGTTCTGTTATAGTAATGGCAATGGATACCGCTGTATGAAATGTCCAAGCTTATTTATTATTTATTTTAACGAGTTCTATTTATAATATTCTAGTTCTCAAGCAACCAAACGACTAAGTGCATAACTGTGGCGTCCACTACAAGCGGAATGATACATAGTGTGCCAGTTGCTCATATAGCAGCACCGCCACGTCTCACAGGCAGCACCCTGCACTACTACACCAGCCACACGGGCCACGGCAATCACCCGGGTCACGTGACCCATGCTAGCCCAACCGCCCCATCGTCAGCAACACGAACCGTGCATCATTTACCGCAAGCCACTGTGACTATACAAAGCATTCCGGGTTCCACTTCGCAGATGATTCGCGGGTTAGTTTTTAGATATTTTTTGTAAAATTATGTGTATTGTACATTTATGATAAAATACATCATATACGTAGATTTAACATCATCATCTGCTTCCTTATCCCGTTTATTTGGGGTCGGCGTAATATGTTTTTCTCTTCCATTCATCTCTGTTCGCAGTCATCCCGTTATTTACTCCCTTTCTCACCATATCATCTTTTACACAGTCCATCCATCTCTTTTTCGGTCTTCCTCTACCCTTATAACCATCCACATTCATATGTAACACCGTCCTTAGGATATGATCTTCATTCCTACGCATTATATGCCCATACCATGATAGACGATTACTCTTTAACCCTTCGACATCGGTGCCACTTTCATACTTCCTCTGATGTATTCATTCTTTATTTTGTCTATCCTCGTCACACCACACATCCATCTCTACATTCGCATTTCAGTTGCATGCAGTTGTCTCTCATCCGTCGCCTTTATGGGCCAGCTCTCTGATCCATACAATATATACGTAGATTTAACATAACAATATTTTATTGAGCGCATTCTCTGCGTGTAAGCATTATTTTTTTATAAACGAGACCTACATACTGTTCTATAAACAATATCTGAGAACAAGATTTGATGTCCTTTTATGTAATTTACCTTGTCTATAGAGCTACTCTAAAAGGTAATTAGATTCCCTTTCCCACTAGAAAGGGAACTTTACCGTGATAATTAGGGACAATCTTAAGAAAGTTAAAAAATGTCAAAGACTATTATATTAATATATGTGCCCCTTGAAAACAAAAAAACTCTAAATATTCTTAATTTTGTTTTACAAGTAACGATATTGAAAAAATACTGTGCCTACAAAATTTCTAAGACTAAATAATTTTACCCTATGATTCGTCTACTCAATTGTTAATTTATTTTTTATTGAACTAAAAATATGTTACCTTTATTTTACAGAATACCAATTAACACAAAAACTGGTACATTCAGCACAGTGATGTCCCAAGGGACAGCGAGTACGATAATTGGCTTCGGAACCAGAGCGTCCAACGCGACGATTCTCGGCACACCACAGTATGTTAATGTCTCTTCTAAATCTTTTCCCACTGGTAACATACTGCATAATGCTATTGTTTCCCGAAATATTCTTAACCGTACGAACTTGGCAGCAGTTACTTCTGGAGTGTCATTCAATGTAGCTGCAGTCAGACCCATCTCTCAAACAAGTACTCCAAAGATCAGTACAGTTGTAACAGCCAGTTCAAATGACTTTGATAATATATCTACAACAAAGGATATGATTGATAATGCTTGCAATTCGTCTGTGATGTTGAAAAAAGTCCTGACACTTGGTAGTGCAGGTGCAGCTAAATCTTTCATGATGCATAACACACAAAAGGTATTGTCGACTGGATTTGCAAATGGCGTTACACCGCCACCCAACGTAACTATAGTCAGTTCGGGTACTGGCGGAGGTTTGCATAGCAATGCCAATGTTGGTCATTCGACATCCAACATAATGAGCCCAACATCAGGTACATTAAGTGCTACACACGCGACTTTATCTGCGTTACTGGCGTCAAGTGATGGAAGCGTTCAGCCGAGCAATAATTAAATCATATACAAAATCTTCATCTTCATAATATTTTGGCAAAATGAATGTTGATCTCATAATTAGATAATTTTAAGACTACCCACATTCACTAAACTCATAAACCTAGTATATATATCATAATTTGAATTTGATGTCATAGACTTAGAGTGTGCCAAAGTTTAATTCTAAAATAATAAGACTTGATGTTATAGTTGAACTAAATGATGTACCTGCAAATGTAATCTTTTATATATATTTTATTCATAGAAAGAACTATACTGCGTCCAGTTACTGATAACACTTAATTATATATAATAGTAAAAGGATCTATTATGGTACTTAGTATTTTTTGTACATAGTGTGCAAATATTTACTAATATTAATAATTCTGTGTCATTGTGTTAAAAAGAAGTTTTCTTTAATATAATGATGTACTGCTTAATATTCGAGGTAGTTGTGTAAAACGGTTTTTAATAAGGACTAGAACATTTATTTAACATTAATAATAAAAAGTGGTTGTGCATGATTTTACAATATTATAATAAGTAGTGACAGATGGGTAGTGTTGCCACCTGAGTGATTTAATTTGGCACTCACTCATTAAAAAAGTTAACACATTGTCAGTATTGAAGAAGTAGTTGTTACTGAATTCCAATCTGCGCTAGTAAATACAAAAGTTTACACTTTATCTATGAGTGCGAGGTACTTAAACGTATGTTTATTGTGATAATGCGTTTTTGTTGAAATGGAGGTACTAAAAAAGATTTATTCATATTTACTATCATAGGTAAGATATAGTTTGTAAAGTTTGACCCACAATGAGAACTCTTCATAATGATAGACAGCCTACTAGTAATAGTATATAGTTACTTAATTTATTTTCACAATTAAATTCAATTGTGAATAATAAAATGATTATATTTCCATTTTATGATACATACGAACAATATTTTTCCATTATATTTACCAGCTTGAACATATAATATTATAATAAGACTATTATAAAATTAAAAGTGCCAAATATAAACTAAGATATTACACTGGTATATCCTAATTCCATAATTATAACTTACATGGCTGTGGTTATTACTTGCTAAATAGTACAATATTGGATCTCGTCCTATTGTTATTAATGAGTTTGTTCACTTAGAGTAGGAAAAGCAGTCATTGTTTTTATGTTAAGTTTGCATTTTCATAATGATAGTTGCAATAGAATAAGATATCTTTCTTTTATGAGACCTTGTAGCAGGCAATTTCGTAGTGTGAATCGTGAGACATATAATATATTTAATAACTACTTATTCCTGTTATAAGCAGATCTATATTTTTATGGATATGAACAAAGGGAAATAATTAAATGACATAATCCCTATTTGTGTTTAAGGATAATATGCATTAATTGCGTTAAATAGTTTTCATTAAAAAAAAGTTAACGTTATTCACGTTGTTGTAACTTAGTAACACATAAGTCCACCACTGTATTTGCTTCAGTTTTTTATTATCTTACTAATCTAAGATATAAATATATTTAATGTAATACAATAAATTGTTACAGTCAAATGTAAAATATTTAACAAAAATACAAAATAAGATTTGTTAGATCTGCATAAGGTTTTAGGTAGGTACATATTGTGTTTGTTGTATTATATATGTTTATGTACTCGTAAATTATTAATATTCTCATTTATCCAAAGACCACATGTAAGATAGAATAATATCGATTATGAAAATGGGAATAATGACCGGTCCTTAATTATTGAACTATGCTATTACCAATTCTCAATTGATTAAAATGGATGGGCTTGCGATTTTCTATGAACTGGTTCGCAAAAGAAATTGTTAAATGGTCCGTACATAACTACGCAATTGTAGAGTTTAGTTCGTTAATGGATGTTAGTAATATCGCTACATAATTAAGGATATGAACATTCCAATTTCTTATAAATGCATACGGTACAATCAGTTAAAAATTTTTGTGGTATATAATATATGTTTTGATTTTATTGTATGCTCTATTTTTTGACAGAATTTCTATTAAACGGTGTTCAAAATTTCGAATACGGATGTGATTTTAGTGATTTTGAGCTGTGTGTAGTTTCTAGAGTATTAAAGAACTATTACTACTAAGTATTAGTAATTTGTAGTAGATATATCACTTGCCGATTTTTGTAGTGTCAATTTCGCTATATGTGTGTATATTTATTGTTGCCTGTATGCAAGTATTAAGTAGTTTGGAATGGAATGTATGTGTTCAATAAAACTCAAATTACAACTTTTATATATAATGCTTAGCAACAAAATGTTTTTTAGCTAAATATGGTTTTTATTGTTCATTTAGAACAAGTAGGTTTTAAGCGCTTTTATTTATTTACTGTTAATTAAAAATTTTATTTAATGTATGCTGTTATCAAAAAGTCTCTAAAATGATTATTTTTATATATAATTTTAGTTTACCAGATAATTTGATTTATTTTGAGATTTTAATAGTCTTGAATGCTTATTATATAGTGTTGCGATTTCTGGATGCAATATTTTGTAATAAATTATGTATGCGTGAAATTATATTCCTGTAATATTGTGTAAGAAGTCGTAATTTAGTCGGGTTTAAATATTCGGTCTATCTGCAATCGCTTGCTTTCAGTGCAATTAGTGGCTTTATTAGCTTGCAATATGTAATATGCAATATATTTAAAAAAACGTATAAGTATTTGCTTGTTAGTTACACTATAATATGCTTAGCTGTAATGTATCTTCTGCGTAAGAGAAATAAAAAAAAAATGGTTGTTTGCGCTGACTGCTTCTAAATATGTTTTATAAACATCGCGTTTTAGTTTTATGTTATACGATTTTAGCCAAATAGCAACGTAATAGCAATGTTATTATGGACGTTGAACACAGTAATTATTCGAAATGGTCACAACTGTTAGACTTATTTTTGTAAACGACTGATATTTTTTATGTTACCTATTATATATATTTAAACTTCTGGGTAAACGACTTACTTTAATTATATTATTAAATAGAAATTTAAGTTATATTTGTCGGCTGTACTTTCATTTATATTTCCTTTTTTGATTTGACAATAGTGTTTATGAGGACATTAGGCGGTGGAGTAATATTAATTTATTGTGACTCTTATTAGTTATTCATACAAATAACTTGTACAAGTTGGTATATTAAGGTTTAAAATTGTTTTTATGTTAATTTGGATTTTTGTTAATAAGAAATATGCGATATAAGTATGGTATTTACAGATTTTTTGTTATATTATATTTGATTAAATTTGGTATCCTTGAGTTATGAATATTTTGTAGTTGTTCAGTAAACATTATGAATAGTTATCTATCTATATGCCAAATTTCTTACCGGCTATGCAGATAAAATGGAGCAAACAGTAGTATATCGTTTTATATCTGTCGGTTCCTACTTTATTAATTTAGATCCTTATTCTGCACTGGAATAATATTTAGTTGTAGCACAAATTTTTTCAACATTAATGTCATGCGTCATATATTTTGTTTTAATATAAATCTTACACAATCACGGTACAAAAAAATACACGCATATTACGTGCAGAGCATGCATGAGAAATCTATTTTTATTAATGGATGCCTCTCCATTTCATAACTCACAGGAAACGCAGTACTTACCTACTAAGTGTTATTAGTAGAACTATCTCAAAATATCATACTCTAAATTTACAATTTGTTCTCGTATATTTACTTCATTACCCTAATCTCTAGTTTATTTAATTCTATTTTTATTGATGAGTTTCTTGAAAGTATCTGATTTACGCAAATTACTACTAAAGCTTCTGACATGAAAGTTTTCACAGATAATAATCCTTCTCTTAGTTTTCTGGAAGACACATCTGTATCGAAGTAGCAAACTATGATATGTATAACGTATTCAGATTGACAATAACGTGTTTGAATCTATTTTTAGTTCGTTTTCCTCTAACTGATATAGTTATTTTTAATAGTATACCTACAATATTATGGCATCTTTCTACTTATTGCATCATATTGATTTGCTCTTTAAAAAGAGGCCGCCGGCCGTTACTAGTAACCCATATCGAGCAAAACTATTTTAACGACGCTTAAAATAGTTCAGCTTGATAGCATTCGATTGAATAGGTCACCTCGATCTGTAAAAAATGAATTGAATTATGAATATTTAATATTCGAAACTAGTCAACTCAACAAATATAGTCTATATTTGTCAGAATATGACCATCGAACTAGATAGCTATCTTAATGCGATTATGAACGAATTGATAGTGGGTTCATCAATTTTTGTCCGAATTTTGGCACGAAAGTTTTACCACACCGAGGTTTTTATTACCTTTTTAAATGAATACGTCATTTCTATGATAGGATCATTTCCATATACTTTATTACACAACTACATCGCTGGAAAAGCCCCGTCGTTGGGGTACGCCGCTAATAAACCGAGATGCTGCTTATCTCCTCACTAATGCGCTATGAAAGTCTTGCATAATGTCCTATCATTGTCAAATGTGTTTAGAGATGATATTTACATATCTCGGTGAATGACATGATATTCTTTTTCCGTAATATTTTAGTTGTTGCCAACACCCATTCACTGGTACTACCTACTAGTAGTTTTGTTACTTGACTTGTCATTGTGGTATTTTTTTATGATCTCTTCTATTTTCCTTTACGCCCGGCTTCTTAGGATATAAACAGATAGTCGGGAAGAACATCATTTGCTTAGTATTAATATTTATATTCATACCATTTTACAGGTCAATGTAATTTGGTACACTGTTCGTATTTTCTTTGATATTAATTGCACTAAGCTATTGTGCCAGTTGTTGGAGATTTAGAGTAATAATTTTTAGCATTGTCATGTGGGAGTGATGTAGGTATATGCTGGCAGATCATTAGTCCGAATAAGTTTATGATATATGGTATAAATACCATATATCATATATATATATAGATATCAGAAACCATCATGTTTTATTATTATATATATAATAATATGCAACCTCTATGTATCGATATATTATGTTATCAACAAGACTATATACTCGTTTGTAAATTGTATAGGTTGTACATTTACGTGAAATATTTTTAAGTTAATTATTATTATTAATTATCATATTATAACGACCTATAACGATTTTGAGTATTGTATATTATTATATATATAATATATGGACTTTTTTTAAATGTATTTTATTGTTTAAATACTATGGCTGTGTATTCAAAGGGTTGTTTTAATTATTACGTATTAATATTATATTCCTATTATTAAAATTAGGCACTGAAATATATAACGTAACAATGTTTTATGTATCAATACTACTTTCTATGTTGTTATCCTGAGGAAACAACAAAATTTTAAAATATGGTAACTAAGAATTGTATTCAGTTACTATGTGTAGTGAAGTTCTAGAATAGAGAATGTTGTAATGTCGTAATATTGTAAATGTGATTATTCATTTTAAATAGTCTTGTCTTGTCTAATGTCTTTAATGGTTTCAATGTGTTTTGTGTAATTATTTATCTCCAATATGGCGACAACATGACGATGAATGTCATTGAAATTAGCTGGTCCACTAACTAAAAAATTATGGGTTATTTTGTTTTTGGTCATATGTCAATCATAGGTAGTCAGGTCATAAGTCAATGTCATAGTAGTGCCCGGCCTTATTTCGCCGCTATTCCTTTGTCCTAGTCAAACAGGGATCTATATAACGACGGCTTCAGACGAGGTCCGAACCCCTAGAGGTACCCTTAGACTGGAGTCAAATCCGTCAGACAGGAGTTAGTATTCAGTCGCACTATTCAGTCAGTCATTTTGCGGGTGCCTTCTGCCCTCACCTCTCCTGCAGTAAAACAGGCCAACTACGACCAACTGAATAGTCCGAAAAAAAATCATTTCGTACTGTAAAGGTAGTGAAAATTATTAGTGAAGAATGAAAGAAAAGCTTATGTCGCAACTTTATTCGTACCGGTTTTATTAAGCATCACATTAGAAGTAACTTATATACAATATATTGAACGCAAATAAGTTACAAAATATGTGTGTGTAAGGTTTATAGCTTAGTGCTGTTTGTGAATGTCTTGTATAAATGTGATACTATTAAAGAGAAATATAAAGTTAAATTGACAATAGTAACAGCTTTTAAGTTTTGCCTACTGAAGTAAACTGGTTTTTAGTACCAGGGAAATGTGAAAATATGTATATATACCATACCGACTAGGACGCTGTATGTAGAGTACGCGTCTCCTCACAATAATAATTTTATACAATGTGTAAAGCGTTTATACAAATTTTATACATGTATAATACTATCTATTGTTTCAACCAAGATACGCAAAAACATCGCATAATATCATCATTGCCTTCCATTAATCCCATTATTTGGAGTCGTATCATACCGATACCGTCTTCCATTGATCCCTATCAATAGTCATTTCTGAGCTTATTTGCCTTATGCGCCAATCATCCTTCACAGAGTCCATCCATGTTTTTTTACGATCGACCTCTCCCTTTACATCTATAACATTCCATTAGTACTACTTACAGATTTTAATTTTGGTACTTTAGTAAATTTTGAAAATATCTTTTATTCCATATAGTTTAAGACTGTGATATGTAGATATTTTAGTTGAAACCGGTCCTTCTGATAGCTCGATGCAATGGTATATTTATTTAAAGGCGCTTTCTATAAGACAACATCGCGACCTCTTGGTTCCGTTATTTTGAATTATCAGTTTTATATGACATTATTTCAACACATCCAATATAAATACAAGCGATAAAACAGCTGTAAACTGAGACATATAAAATATTTTACGGTTATTTTATCGGTTGTGTATATTCATCCCAATCTAGTTTATCGGATACTGATAAAAATGTACAATTGTAGTAGTTCAGATTCCTTCCGTGAAATTCCCAAGGTATATGCGATCTGTCTTTGTATGACAGAATTGATAAAGTGTTAGAGAGATTTTTAACGTTATTCGTTACACTGTTGTTGCGTATGTCAGTTCACTATCTGATAAATGATAATTTTATAAGGAATATTCAACTAAAGGTTTACTGATAAAATGGTGACAATACCATTTTTTCAGTAAATCTTAGGTAATTTTTCAATTGTTGAACATAATATTATGATCAGCATCATTTTCAAAGTTGCATGTTACACTGAGATCTTTATATATATTTTTTTTGCAAATGGTAAATGTGGTTGTAATCTAGTGTTGTGAAAGTAATCTATATCTCATCGCGAGCTTCATACCAAAATTATGTAATAAATGATGTGATCACTAATAATTTTGTATGTTTTATTTATTAATAAAATTTTTGTTTATTTCAAATTGATATAATGAATGTAAATTAATCCATGAATATTTTCAACAAGTTTTGAACAGTCAGTTCGTTTTTCGGTCCATGTTTTTAAGGATATTGAGTTTGAATACGTACGTACACAACTAAATGTAATCTGTTTTATATGACTAACAAATAATTATAATTTGAATATGTTACTTTTGATATCGTCACCAATTTTGTACAAAATTTGATAATTATTTTTGAAATGATGTTTTCGCATGTTGATTCAATATTAATTTGTTGAGGTAGGTTTATGTGATTTGTACTACTACTCAAATTGGGCTACTGTAGACAGTTGTGGCTAATCATAAGATCCATATCGTATTTGTGGATAAGAATAAGCTTACCACAGCAAGACATATAGTTTATGTATTTGTCTGAAATACAAGTCAATAAATCGTTTAGTTACGCTAAATTAATACCAAGGCCGTTCGCTACGGACACCATAGACTCTCGTAAGGAATATTATTGACTACCTGTAACATGTGAGGTATGCACATTATCAATTTGTAAATAGAACCGGTAAAATCAGGGCTAATTGAATCCGCGTTACGTTATTTTTAAAATAAGAATTCGCTTGATATTTTGGTGACGTCACAGGACAAAATTTCTAATTCAAGTCAGCAAAAGTATAATCAGACAGTAAGGTTGTATAGATTTATTATATTATGATTATACTGTGTCCATTAATTTTTATTTTATTATCTTATAGAATGAGTGATAAGTAAGACTACTTTCTGTTTCTTTTCCTCTGCATTTATTATTTTCAAATTATAATTTCTATTGCTCATTATGTTCCTAGCCTATCTATACTGTACCTATTTGCTTCGACTGCCTTACTGACTTCTTCAATACACAAGATCAACATTAATATTTAAAAATTGTTGTATTACCGCAGTAATATAATTGCAGAATTTTTATTCGTCAATTTTCGTCAAATATATTTAGAAACTTTCCGATGTAGAACATTATTAAGGATAGTAAACCTAAGATAATACCTAAACAATAAAAGCCGTCAATCCATTATCGGAGCCTACAATGTGTAGCACGCGATAGCTGCGTAGCGTCTCGTAGCATACCGTTACGCTATGGAGTTCATTGGACGCTTAAGTTGTATACGCGTCATGTGCGAGTTTTCTTTCATAGAATTTGCTATAAATAGGTTGTATTCGTAATTGACAATAACGTCAGAAAAAAGTTATATTTTGACTTAATAAATTGACGTAATCCTAGTGTACGAGTTTCCGAAAAAATCAAATCAAGTTTCAAGTTAGTGATATTGTTAAACTTGTAATTATCAATATTCGTTATTGCAAAGTTCGGAAGTACATAACATTTGCAGTGCGGGGTTGCTACGTAGCTAGGAGCGTGTGGGCGCGCGGTGGGCGTGCTCACAGCGTGGCGGGCGGGGGCCGGCGTGGCGCGGACGGGGGGAGGGGCGCGAGCACGTGCTGCGCGCTCACGTGGTGGTGCCGAGCGCGCTGCTCTACTCCTGGCGTCCGTCGTGCCCACCGTATGAATAATTGTGTACGGAGTGAATGAATCGATGCGGCGGCGACGCGGGCAGTGCGGGTAGCGGAACGCGGGCGGGGGCGCGGGCGGCCGCTGCGTGGAGGGGTGCGCCGCGACGCGCGACGCGCCAGTCTCGTGCCGGTAGTCGGTAGTGTAACTGAGCGACTCCGGGAGCCGTCCCCGTCGCGTCATCGCTCGCTCGTAGTCGTAGTGTGCCCGCCGTCCGGCCTGCCCCGCGCCGCCGGCGTCAGAGCCCATGGAAACCCAGAACCAGGATACGGCCCGAAGCCCCGCCGAGGTGCCCAACGATCCGGGGTATGTCCGCCTCCTGGAAGTGTGTGTTACTTGCATCCCGACGTCTGATCCACCTCTAAACTCTATGTTTACCTTGCAGGAAGATGTTCGTCGGAGGACTCAGCTGGCAGACTAGTCCAGGTACGCTCGTCGGTTCATCGGCCGCTTTCCGCCTGCGCTGCGGGCGGATATGCATCTGATGCACTCATCGGCAATGGTCGACCATTTAGGCATCTGAAGATCTACTCTTCCGTGATAAGAACCGCGAAATCGCGTTTTCAGTGATGAACTTTCGACCTTTCGCGAGATCGTTTTAGATAAACACCGGTAAAAGTTTGATAGTCAGCTGATTACTTATTCGTGATCGGAAAATATCGATAGCGGTGATGGTTTCATTAGTGAACATGAGGAATTCTATGTGTGATATATCGAGGCCGTTTGCAGCGTCGTAAACGCGTGTAATATGCTCTAATCCAGTTATATTGTTGAGGTGTATTGGCAATCAGGTGTACGGTGGCGGCCATGCCGGATGCGCGCGCAACCTCCACCGCCGCTCAAACCTCTCCGCCCCAAAGGCTTGCGAACAATTTTCGGCCTTATCTCTATTAATTTTCAGTGGTTAATCCTATAGAAGGCTTTTATAGCCGGCTTTTTCTCTAAACAGTTATCACAACATAACCTCAATCTTAAGTACGTAATGCACGGCACCGGCACAGGCGCGGTTTTGTTCATCTCTATCATTGTAGGGCGCGAGAATAATTGGCAATAAGCAATAATATAGACTTGTAACACTATTTTAAATACACAACAAAATTTTAATGATTGTTTTATTCCAATCCAATCCAAAAAATAGTTCTGATGCTAAACTTATAATTCACAGAGTAGTAAAATCTTAAAATAAGTTTATGAAATGGAACTGATTGTAATGAATACATTTTTTTTAAACGAAATTTTATTATTAGAGTGCATCCTAAAATATCAAAAACGAAATGCCTCGTGTTCGTAGCTGGAAGTAACTTTATTGTGCATTGAAATCAATTAATTGCGTGAGTGCAACGGGAAAGGTCCGGTGCGCGTGCGCGAGTGATGCCGCCCGCGGTATTGGGTCGGCGCCCACGCTGCACTTTGATCCTCCACATCTATGCCAACTTTGTTCTTCTCTGGAGATATCTAGGCCGCTGCATCAGCAATACACTTGAGATATTATCGGATCTGTTGATCGCAAGCTCGTATACCGGGAAATGCATATATAACGAACACTTAGAGCGTTAACCCCACACTTCGGCTTATCTTTATCCGGTTATTAGAATTTTATATTATGAGACGTATTATAATATGTTTTTCATTTTGAGTTAACAGTCACTAATCATAGAAATATATCGTAAGCAACGAGCAATATCTTTTAGGTACATATCTTCTTGTGTTACTGCATATGCGAATCAAGTATTAGGTAGTTGATTACTTGCCTATTGCGTCAATCGATTCACAATGAAATACATATTCAAAATGGTGAAATACGAGTAAAAAACTGAGTTTTGTAATGTTTTATTTGATTTAACTATCTCTACATTGATAACAGTTAAATAACGTTATTTATAGTAGGTATATTATGTAGTTAATGATATTCATGTAATAACAGATTAACTGTGACGGAAAGGTCGAGGGAAAAATACAAATATATTTTTGTTAATAGTTTTGCCTCGTCACTAGTAAGTAGATACTTTTTTTGACTATGAGGGTTTAAGATGTTGACAAAGTCACTAAATAATGTTTTGTATTGAAACAATTGATAATAATTTCGATTTTAGTGTATGATTATGGGGTTCGATGTCAATCTAATCAACTTACCATTAGGTTCTATTATTCTTTCTAATATATTTAACAATTATTAAAATTTTCTACTAAAATTTAATAGAAATGGTTGTTGACCCACAAAAATAATTTATTCTAACAGAAATCAGTCTCGGGTGGCGTAAAATGTTTACACGAGATGTTTGCACCTTGCCTCAGTTGGGTCGATAAGATAATATTTGAAATTATAAGTATCACGACATACCAAGTGTTATCGCTGATGGGTGTAGCCCGGTCCCCATAATCTCCCTTCTACAAATAACAAAGTCCGTATCCTATATACGGGTTATACTATAATTTAAAAATCACCTATTATTATATACGATGAAGCAAGCACATAAGTGCTTTATTCAATTTTCAAATTTGCAATTATATATGAAGAGCGTTATTTTATTGAAATATTCTATTAAGATAAGGGGAGTAGAAATGGTAATATATTAACTATATTAGTTTAATAATTCGATGAGTAAACATAGGGTACCAAGATAACACACACGTTGCTTAAGTACGGTGATAATGACACATGGCAATATATTCTTGTTAAAATATGAAAAGGCAATGTTGTAACACCTATATAGCACTAAACACCGTTGTTATCAGTTAAGTGGATTTCTTGATTACTATCTCGTGGGAATTTTTTCAAAATCTAGCCTATTATATAGTTACGAACATCACTTTTACTTGTAATAACTTAAATTTCTAGGTACTTAGAAATATTTATTTATGTACTTGAATGAGTCAGAGTTATTTTACAACATGTGTTATCTATCTATAGAAATGGAGTATTTTGTTCTAGTATTTACCCAATATTGAATTTACAGCCTTAATTTTAAATTAATATCTAACGGCTGTACCCATGTATTCTTATATTTTTTTAGGCGACAAAGTCCTTATAAATCCCGTCGTATTAAGTACCGATGAATTATCCTTAAAATATCGAAATCTAAGAGAACATTAAAAAAACAGTTTATAATGTTTCCCAAAAAAATCTAAATGCATAAGCATCAGCCTAACTTTTCGGTTGAATACAATAATTAATCATAATGCCAACGCAAAACAAAATATGCCAAAAGGGAAAGGTATGTTCTTAATGATATGTAAAATTTAATAAATGCTTTACGGGCAAAAAAATATCATCTTGTATTTACGAAAGAAACTTCAAACCCATTCTTTAAAGAAATATTATAAATGTACTCGCTTACCCCTGTATTTGGTACCAAAAAATTTCGTATAAATATAATAATGAAAGATAACTACCAGTTGGCTGAATTCTAATTAAGTTTTCTAGAATAGTGCTCTAAAAATGGGAACTTGACTGCATTCTTGGCGCTCAAAATTTCTAATTTTGTAGTATCTCAGTAATATAATAAATTTCTCGATAATTCCATTATTCTTCTAACATTAAGTGGTAATAAAAATGTAACTAGTGTTATTTCTTAATAATGTTCTGCAATTGTTGTATTTATAGAACATAGGACATAAAACATAGTTTTGTGGTTATGAAATAAGACAAGGACAATATATTCTAGATTATTTAAGTAACTCATTATTTGAACATTGCGAGCGCAAGTAAGCAGGTATACACTTGCTAGACAAAAGGCTCAGCTCTATTATTTGCATCGTCCTCGCGGGGCTGTATCACTGACACGCTGCCTAAGGAATTATACAAACTAAGCTAGGTGTCTAACAGATAAAATGTGCTACAAAGTAGACATTATCAGTTGGTTACTTGCAGATTCAGTATCTCATTAGTATAAAACAAAATTGTGTCTGTCTATTTCTTCGATTAGTGTGTTGAAATAACGCTAAGTATTGTACCTACAAAATGGACTAATAATATTTGGATATTTTGTTATAGGTTTGAATCTGAACTTTATGTATTCTAATATAACATATATCGTTCAAAATATATAATATTTTACCTAAGTCGTACACGAACCGTTAGTACACATTAAATTAAAACCTACAAATCCAGACATAAAAAAACTAATTACAGTAATTACATCTATAACCTGTTTATAGTTACATGTAGACATTCGAAATTGTAATTTTCTAAAGAGATTTAGAGAAATTCTAAAGTTTATTTCTTAATTAGTTTTTGTTCGCGATGTCGTCTACTTGGACTTCGAATGTAAATTATTCACAGGATTGCATTACCGGAGTTTAAATTTATGTGTTAATCCAGGATATGGTTTATCTGTAGGGCTGCCAAATTTCAGATTTGTTTGTCTTAAATTACTTATAGCATTTTAAATATTTCGTTGTACTTACTAGGATATTGTACACTTAGATTGCCAGGTCGTTTTCCTACTTTTATGGTTCCTAAACCATTTTCTTTGAATTTTGGTTATAACTCTCTAATGTTTAAGGTCGTTGCGTGCTCATTTAGCTTGAATACAATACAGTTGAAAACGGTATTGGTACTGGACTCGTTATGGTTATTATCAAGTAGGTAGATTGTTTGCTTGACTCGTGCTCTTGCGCATTGCGTCTTCATTACGTTTGTTACACGATTTCCTTAGCTTGTATTTGTATGTATGTTGATTTATATTCTATATGATATAATGAGATGTTGAATATTTTATTATAATTATATTAATGGTATTTCGATTACCTATTTATGATATTGTGCTATTACAATATATTAAGTGTATTTAAAAAATGGCTTAGATAATTAGAATACATGTCACTTGTAGCACGTAGCACTGCCGGTCTGTTTGAAAAGCATTGACGAGGAAAGTAGTTTAGGATTCCGAATTATCTAAGGCTTTTTTAATTTAGCCTTTTTACCAAGGTTTTGATACCTAAATTAAAAAAATCAGACCATTAGACTCTACTTGATTTAACTACCATAAAAATAAACCCACTACACATCATGAATATGTCATATGGAACTGACATAGATTGTACTTATCGATTGAAAAAATAATTCAAGTCCGTTACGTTGTAGCTTTTGTATGAACGTTCCAAAAAAAAATTACAGTAAAATAGAAGACTCTTCTCTTAAATTTTTCTTAAGGTTCTAATTGCAACAATTTCGTGTAAACATATAAATAGTGAGAAACTTCTCTAGTCTTTAAATTTATTTCCGTGCTATTTCTCAAATTTTTTAGGGAGAATTTACTCACTAAAAGATTCTTCAAAATAATTGTAAAAGCAACGCGAGAAATGCCAAAATCCCAAGTTCTGAAAACGCAAAGTTTTGAATGGCTAGCACCTGCCGATAATTGAATAATAAAATTATAAGTTAGAACAAGATCCGCAATCAAGAAACAAGGGAATCTAGTTAT